GAGTAAAAAACTCAGGTATTTACTGTAGTGTAACACACACTGTCTCCAGATCAGCCAGACGTGTGTGTGTGTGTGTGTGTGTGTGTGTGTGTGTGTATGATTTAGGATGCTGTCACCATCTAAAACACACTTCTAAAGCAAATATTTAATCTTTATTTTGTATCCGAAAAATGTTTCACAATCTCTCTCTCACACACACACACACACACACACACACACACACACACACACACACACACACTTATTTGAACTATACGGTCTGTTTGTCCTCCAGAATCCAGCAGCAGCAGTGCTCAGACAGTGCAGAGAGCCGCTGTGTGGTTTAACACTGGTTCTTCATCTCTCAGTGATGTGAAATCTACAGCTGTGGGCACAATTATTCACCCTCCTGTAAAGTCTGTGTTCATTTCTGCTCTTCACTGAAGCTGTACAGTACAGGTACGATTCTGGCACCTCTCCTGTTCAACCTTTACATGCTCCCTCTGAGCCAAATAATGAGACAGAACCAAATCTCCTACCACAGCTACACTGACGACACTCAGATCTACCTAGCCTTACAGCCTAATGACTACAGCCCCACTGACACCCTCTGCCAGAGCACTGATGAAGTTAACAGTTGGATGTGCCAAAACTCTCCTCAATTAAACAAAGAGAAAACTGAAGTCATTGTGTTTGGGAACAGAGATGAGGTTCTCAAGGTAAATGCGTACCTTGGCACTAAGGGTCAAACAACAAAAAATAAGGTCAAGAATGTTGGTGTGACTCTGGAGTCAGATCTGAGTTTCAACAGTCATGTCAAAGCAGTCAGTAAATCAGCACACTATCATCTCACACACACTGCAGGAGTCAGATGCTTTGTTTCTAGTGAAGACTCAGAGAATCTTGTTCATGCTTTTATCAGCAGCAGGGTGGATTACTGTAATGGACTCCTCACTGGTCTTCCCAAACACACAGGCAGACAGTTTCAGCTCATCCAGAACGCTGCAGCCAGAATTCTGACCAGAAGCAGAGAATCAGAGCACATCACACCTGTCCTCAGGTCTCTACACTGGCTGCCAGTTACATTCAGAATAGAGTTTACAGTATTATTACTGGTCTATACATCAGTAAACAACCGATATGCTGACTGAACACACACCTAACAGATCAGTCAGATCATCAGGATCATATACACTAGAAACCTCAAGAGTTCAGTCAGAGCAGGTGAATCAGCCTTCAGCTATAACAGCGCCCCCTGCTGCTGGAGTCAGAGATGATCAGATGTGCTCCAACATTACACACACTCACATCAGGACTGAACACACACCTGTTCAGCTGAGCTTTACTGTATGAGCACTGTGCTGCGTCCGACAGATCACTCTATTATGTCTTGCTTTTCTTTTTCATTATCTTATCACCTGTTTAACACATTTAATCTGTTTTAATCGCTGTTATTCTTTGTTTTTATACGTGTCTCTCTTATTCCTGTTTATGTGAAGCTCTTTAAATTGCCACTGTGTATGAAATCTGCTATAGAAATAAACCGGCCGTCTCTGCATTCATCTGTACTGAGTACATAATAACATTAATATGGTTTATTAGTTTGGGTGTGCATGCGTGTGTGTGTGTGTGTTTGTGTCAGTCTGTGTGCATGAATGCGCGTGTGTGTTTGTGTGTGTGTGTTTAAACCCACACACTATCAGTTCTCAGGTCAACAAACTCACAAATCCCAGAGTTCAATCAAACACAATTTAATTATTTCATTTCCATAATCCCACAACGAAATCCACTGAAGATAGAAAAACACAGGCATCGTGTGTGTGTGTGTGTGTGTGTGTGTGTGTGTGTGTGTGTGTGTGTGAGATGGAAAGACAGAAAAGTCAAACAATGATATGAAAAGGTGATCTCGGAGTGAATCATGCGCTGGCTCTGAACTCAGGCCGTTGTCTGAAACTGAAAGAGGCTGATTTCTCCAGCCGCTGCCCAGAACTGCTGCAACACACTTTACAAGGCTTTGGAGAGTTTATCAGGCTGGAAAGGAAATCTACGAGTCTTCTGGGTGTTCAGCGGCAGGAACATTTGTGTCTGAGCAACTCAAACCTTCTGTACATCCAGTAGAGACAGACAGACTGACGCTCCATATCCTCTGATGATGGATCATGTGCAGCACTGCTCTCCAGTATCGCCAGAACTACATTAGATTTCCCTGTTTTGAATTCTGTAATGATATTAAAGCTCTAATTCAGACTAAAGCTCAAACATTCAGTCTTTAAACGAGTCACTCTGACCTGATATGCAGATATTCTGACTCTGATTGGCTGCTGACTCGTTCATCTAGACTCCGCCCACTAGTGTTTATTTTCAGTTAACTCCAGCCAATAGCAGAACAGCAACTACAGAGTAGGCGGGGCTATAGATAGTAAAGCACCTGATCTGATTGGTCAAGCGACCAGTCGTTAATCAGACGTGTGCGCTGTGCATGTGCTATCATCACGCAGCCCTGGCTGACATACATTCATCCGCTTGGTCTGCATTGTTTTTGGTTCATACAGAAGAGCTTTGGAGCACATATGAGAGAAAACAAGGCATCGACAGGTGGATCCAGCAGAGCTCTCGATGGCTTCATTACAGTAGAGAGCAGAGCAGACGGTCATGTGCCCTTCATAACCAGCGGACATCACAGAAATCCACCGTGCATTAAAGGAGACCTATTATACACCAGTATACGAGCTGTAATAAGATGAGCGTGTGAGCTTTGAGCTGAGAACAGCACACAGATAATGTTCTCCAACTCTCCGAGTCCGATGATATAAGGCTTTGATCCTGATGGTGAATGTGTCAGTCTAGATGGCTGTTCATCTAGAACTCCACATGTATAATCCTCTTAGTCTATGCTGACATGATCTTCAGCACACTCTAATGGATAATGGACAGACGGCTGCTTCTCACTCAGGCCTGCTGGACATGCTAATGAGATGGAGACTAGTGGGCGGGGCTTTCCCCCTCTGATGACACATACAGCAGGAGAATGTCAATCACAGTGCTTCTGCATCAAGAACAAACACAACTCACTCATGCTGAGCATCAGAGGCTGCTGGAGATACACACACACACACACACACACACACACACACACACACACACACACACACACACACACACACTGCTGTGCTTTAATCCTGCATGAAGTGTATAATAGGTCCCCTTTAGTGGAATAAACACAATAGCATGCATCTGATGGAGCTGGAGCGGAGAAACCCCACACCAGCACAGATAAAAGATCAGATTAATGCACCAACACTGAGCTTTTGCTTTTGGTGCTCCAGCAATAATAACATTAACAACAATAATAATCCTCTAATGTGCATCAAGCACTCGGAGAATCAACCCCACGCAGGCCATACATTCAGACAACTCGTGAAGAGAGAAGTCATTTAAAAGCCTCTGAGAAGAACAAATAACCTGCTAATAAGATGCCATTTATAACACAGTCTTAATCAACAGAACAACAAGCGTTGTGCAAAACTGAAGCCACGGCGTCACTCTATTTAATCTGTTTCATAATCAACACATTTCACTTAAATGCCCCAAATTTGAGTCCTTTATACTCCACAAACAGCAAACACACTATATATTGCACATCATTTACACAGCACGCTGTCAAAAATACCTGCTTACTAAGAGTTTGTCTTGTTTCTAGTCCAGATTTCTACAACTTCTTAAATCAAGAAGCTTTTATGACAAGCAAAATCTGAAATATTCAAGAATAACGAGTCCAAATGAAGTGAGTTTGGTTGTGTTGATGTGAGATTTGAAGATCACCCGAGACTCTGAAAATAAGCACAAAAGCCTTCCTAAGAGTTTGTTAAATTCAATACTGTAATGGATTTACATTAAAATGGATTATTAATGGGCGAGAAGGTCTCTGGTTCGAGTCTCGGCTGGGTCAGTTGGTGTTTCTGTGTGGAGTTTGCATGTTCTCCCCGTGTTGGTGTGGGTTTCCTCCGGGTGCTCCGATTTCCCCCACAGTCCAAACACATGCGCTATAGGGGAACTGATCAACTACACTGGCACTAGTGTATGAGTGTGTAAAACATATGCTGGAATAGTTGGCGGTTCATTCCGCTGTGGCGACCTCTGATTAATAAAGGGACTGAGCTGAAGGAAAATGAATGAATGAATGAATTAAAATTGTAATTTAAATAAATGTTATTTCAGATTGATTGCATCCAAAATAAAAGTTTGTCATTATATATATATGTGTGTGTGTGTGTGTGTGTGTGTGTGTGTGTTATATACATATAAATACTCGTGTGCATGCAGATATTAAAGAAAATATTTATCTATATTTAAATATTTATATATATGACACAAATTATAAATAAATTTAAATAAACATACAACAATATTGTTTTGTGTAGTTTTTTAGTGTGTGTGTGTGTGTATTAATTCAATTAATCTTTATTTCTATCTTGCTTTTAAAATGTAGACTGTGTCAAAGCAGCTTGACATAGAAGATTAAAGAACATTGTGTTAGTGCAGTTTTCAGTTTCAATTAATAGATATGCCTAATATATTTAATACGCACGAACGCACACACACACACACACACGCACGCACACACACACACACACACACACACAGTGTAATCTGAATGGCATTAATGTTGATTATTGTTCTGCTGTATTTATTTCTGATAACGGCTCATATGATGATTTATTAGCTCTGATTTAATCGCAGCTCAATATTGAAGTTCAATACGAGTGTTCATAGTGCTGCGTACATCATGCGCGGTGTATAAATCATGGCTTCAGTATCGCTCAATGCTTGTTAGCGTTAAAATAAAAAGTAAACAATATGGTGACTCCCCAAAAATGCCAGTTTTCTGGTAGATGATTAGAGAATATCCACAACCCTTGATTAGCAGATCCCCCAAATAGTCTTGCATTGCTCAGCTTCCTGATTAACGATCACTCTCTAAAATAAACATGTAATAATCCCATAGACCAGCTCACATCGTCTCATGTGCATCAGCGATTTAATGCAAATAAATGGCTCAAAATAAAGTTTGTTCCTCAGCAGGAGAGAGTGAGAAACTCTCCGGACGCTTCCAGAAGAGTCCGCCGATGCCTGCGCTCGCCATCACATGTGCAAAGATGGCAGCACTCCCGTCTGCCACACATATAATCTCTACAGTCCACTCTCAGAATGAAGGCACGCTTGGTGGAGCTTTTATTTGGTGTCTGTGCAGGAATCAGGGTTTGCCCACGTCCACTGTGATTTTGGTGAAGAGCAGGTCTTTCTCGATTTTTACCACGTTATATTTTAGCGAATTGATCCCGTCAGTTGCCATGGTTTCCCTTGTGTGCGCGATTCGGTCAAATCTGTGACAGGAAATGACATCATTAGCACCAAATAAAGCATTACAAAGCGATTCAATTACTAATTAAATTAATTAAGTTGGTTAGTTGGCTGGTTGGTTGGTTAGTAAGTTGGTTGTTTGTTTTTTTAGTAAGTTAGTTGGTTGGTTGGTTGGTTGGTTAGTAAGTTGGTCGGTAAGTTAGTTGGTTGGTTAATAATTTAGTTGGTAAGTTATTTGGTTGGTAAGTTGGTTGGTTGGCAGGTTGATTGGTTGGTAAGTTGGTTGGTTTGTAAGTTAGTTGTTTAAAGAGTTGGTTGGTTGATTACTAAGTAAATTGGTTGGTTAGTAGGTTAGTTGTTTGGTTAGTAAGTTAGTTGGTTGTTTGGCTGGGTAGTAGGTTGGTAAGTTAGTAAGTTGATTAGTAAGTAAGTTAGTTAGTTGGTTGGTTAGCAAGTTAGTTGGTTGGTTAGTTGGTTAGTAAGTTAGTTAGTTGGTTGGTAAGTTTGCAAGATAGTATGTTAGTTGGTTGGTTAGTAAGTTGGTTGGTTAGTTGGTAGGTGAGTTGGATGGTTAATTTGTAAGGTAGTTGGTTGTTTAGTTGGTTAGTAAGTTGGTTGGTTAGCAAGTTAGTTGGTTGGTTAGTAGGTTAGTAAAGTAGTTGGCTGGTTAGTAAGTTAGTTGATTGGTTAGTAGGTTGGTAAGATAGTATGTTAGTTGGTTGGTTAGTAAGTTAGTAAAGTAGTTGGTTGGTTAATTAGTTGGTTGTTAGTAAGTTGGTTAGTTGGTTGGTTAGTTGGTAGGTAAGTTAGTTGGTTAATTAGTAAGTTAGTTGGTTGTTCAGTTGGTTAGTAAGTTGGTTGGTTAGCAAGTTAGTTGGTTGGTTAGTAAGGTAGTTGGTTTGTTGGTTAGTAAGGTAGTTGGTTGGTAAGTTAGTTGTCTGATAAGTTAGTTGGTTGGTTAGTAAGGTAGTTGGTTGGTAAGTTAGTTGTTCGGTTAGTAAGTTAGTTGTTCGGTTAGTAAGTTAGTTGGTTGGTTAGTAAGGTAGTTGGTTGGTAAGTTAGTTGATCGGTTAGTAAGTTAGTTGGTTGGTTAGTAAGGTAGTTGGTTGGTAAGTTAGTTGATCGGTTAGTAAGTTAGTTGGTTGGTTAGTAAGGTAGTTGGTTGGTAAGTTAGTTGATCGGTTAGTAAGTTAGTTGGTTGGTTAGTAAGGTAGTTGGTTGGTAAGTTAGTTGTTTGGTTAGTAAGTTGGTTGGTAAGTTAGTTGGTTAGTAAGTTAGTTGGTTGAATGGTTAGTAAGTTGATTGGTTGGTTGTTTGTTGTTGTTTTTTGAAGGGCATTTACACCTGTCTTTTTCAGGTGTAGCTGTGTCATCAGAAAGAACACATGAAGCGAGCACATCTTTCCAGGGGACACCTTTTGAAGCATTTCCCTTGCAATAATTTCTGAATTAAAACAATATCTCTAATATCATTTTAAAATATACTTTCTTTTAAAATATGCTGTTGTGTGTGCTGATAATGTGTTGATAACGTATTGCAGAACACCTTTGGGTGGTATACGGGTTGGGTTATAGTGGTATTCGCAGGTTTACTGTGTAAGGGATGGCCAACTGTGATTATAAATGTACTTACAGAAATTAATTGCATGCATGTATTAAATCCAACAAAAGTACAATGTAAAACCAATAAGTAGATTGAAAGACATGAATAATGTCAGTTTAATCGCATATTAGTGAAGGCCACTTGATATAGTGTCCCCAATAATTCCCCATGCAATAATAATAATAATAATAATAATAATAATATTAACAATAATAATAATAATAATAGTGTTTACCTTTGAGGGTTTGGGTCGTTCTGCTTGTCTCTCTCATGACGGATCATCCTACAGCGACCCAGGAGTCCGTCAGGCCTAGATATCGACATTCCTCTGGAGGAGATCCTGCACAAACACTCAATGTTCAGAAAACTCACACAGCGTAGTTTTACACCAGACGAGAGCAGGGAGATGCCATAACTTATAATTCAGATGAAGTCAGAATTATTCACCCTCCTGTTAAATGTTAATTGGCAAGCATAATGGAGGAACACAAGTGTAGCGTTCACTATTTTGCAAATGTGTTTCAATATGGAATTACTAACGTTAATCCTTTCACACAAGACCAAACCGATCTCGAGTGTAAAACATTTTTTTGTGAATTAAATTTGTTTGCAATTTAGTGTTTCCACCACTCATTTCACACACAATACTTCACAATTTGCATCAACACAGGCTGATGGAAACCCAGCAAGTGTGATTTAGTAAAGTGAATAAGCTGCATTTACGTTAATTGTTAGAGCAGCCAACTGTAGTATTGGTAACCTAGCAACCAACAGTAAACAATGCACACATCAATCCTGGTTTGTCGTAGCGCAACATTGGGTTTATATTATAATACTATTTAGATTATATTAGTAATCTATGTTGGTCTAAAGTTCACTTAGCCAGAGTTTATTTGGCAAATCCATTTCCATTATTGACATTAATCCTCAAGCGACTGTAAAATAGAATTATGGGAGGGATTTTTATTCTAAACGTGGTGTTTCCATCATGCCAAACTCCTAGTTGTAAGAATAAAATAGTTTGAACAAAACACTGATTCCAAAAACACAAATGCAACTTAAAAAGCATCACTATAACATTGCACGTAATTCTGAAGACTGGAGTAATGATCCTGAAATTTCAGCTTTAAATTACAGAAATAAATTACATCTTAGCTTATATTTACATCAGAAGAGATATTTCGAATCATAAAAATATATAAATATTTTCTGCAATAACACAGCTAAAAATGTAGCATTACATAGCAAAAATAAATACAATTTTACCATATATTTCTCATGGAAATATGATATTTAATATCATAAAAACATATTAATATTGTTCTGGAGTAATAATCCTGAAAATTACATTGACAATGACATTTTACCATAAAAGTATAACCTAGTTCACTCTCGCGATTCAAGTAACTGAAAATTGAAACAAAAACTAAAACTGTAGACTGTAAACCTGAGATATGAAAGTGTAGACGTGTGTCTGGCAGAGCTTAATATCTGAGGGCTTATTATAAATATCACACACACCCTCTGGCTGCCTCAAATAAGCAGCAGTTCCTGCTCTGTTTCCTGAATCGTTTGTTCATATGAATAACAACAGCAGAGCAGGTGTTGATGCCAGCAGATCTCCCAGACAGTCCTGTCCTTTAAATAACAGAGGCTGGAGAAACACACACACACACACGGGCTGTGGGAAAACACCCGTCTTTCTTTTTCATGATAACAGTTTAATCTGCCCGTCCTTCTGCTGGCAGGACATTTCTTATCTCAAACAGAAAAACAGCATTCATCAAATATGCTGGAACGCTCGACTGCACTCCGAATGAATGCTTTCATGGTCACATTCAAAAATATTGTGATATATTTTTATGATATGAAATATCATATTTCGATGTAAATATTTGGGAAAACGCTATTTATTTCTGTGATTTAAAGCTGATATTTTCTAAATCAACACTCCAGTCTTCAGTGTCACATGCAATAATATTATGATGTATTTTACCAATTTGAAATATCATATTTTGATGTAAATATATAGTAAAATGTCATTTATTTCTGTGACGTAAAGCTCATATTTTCTGTATTATTACTCCAGTTTTCAGTGTTACATGCAATAATATTGTGATATATTTTTTATGAATTAAATGATCATATTTGGATGTAAATACACGGTAAAATGCTTTTTATTTCTGCGATTTAAAGCATTTTTATTAATCATTTCACTAGTCTTCAGCATTAAATGCCATAATAGTGATATATTTTTGTGATTTTAAATATCATTTAAATACATAAATCACAGAAATGAATAGTATTTTAACATACTGTACATTTCATAATTAATATTTAATATTTGATTTTCAATATTATATTTTGATTTAAATATATGGTAAGACGCTATTTATTTCTGTGATTTAAAGCTGATATTTTCTGAATCATTACTCCAGTCTTCAGTGTTACATGCAATAATATTATGACACATTTTTGTAATAAAAATCATCTTATTTCGATGTAAATATATGGTAAAATGCAATTTATTTCTGCGATTTAAAGCTGATTTTTACATGCAATAATATTGCGATGTTTTTTTGTGATTTAAACATCACATTTTGATGAGAATATATGGTAAAATGTTGGTTAGTTTTGTGATGTAATGCTAAATTTTCAGGATCATAATCCAGAATAACACTGATATATTTTGTTATAATAATAATATTATATTATATAATAACAGTATTAATATAATGATAATATTTTTGATAAACATCATATTTCAATGTAAGTATAGGGTAAAACGGTATGGTAAAAATATTTATTTCCATTATTGAAAGCTGAATTTTAAAAATCATCACTAGCGCTTTGGGTCTTGGAAAAGCGCATTATAAATAAAATGTATTATTATTATTATTATCACTCCAGTTTTCAGTGGCACATGCAATATTATTGCGATATATTTTAGTGATTTTAAATATCATAATTTGATTTGAATATATGGTAAAATGCTATTTATTTCCGCACAGTATTATAGTGTAGAGGTGTGTTGTGTTGTGTTTTGTTTGTGTCAGACTCAGAAACAGGAAGTGTGAGGCTGAAAGCGGAGCCTCAGCTGAATCGATGTTTCCGGTTTACTGGAGCAGAGGGCTCTCTTTGCTCGACTGCGCTACAGGAGGAAAACAGCGCTTTATTTTTACTCTTCACACTTGTGTGTGTGCTTTCAGTGAGGGTGTGTGCTGAGTTTCTGTCATTCTGGAAGATTCTCACAAAACACTTTACTGAAAGTACACATATAAAATATTTTTTTCTTAAAGTACAAAAATTATATATATAATTCAATATTCAACATTTAATTTGATTGTATAATTCTATTATTTATTATTACTTCAGTCAAAGTAAATTTAAACTAAGATTAAACTATTTACTGTGAACATATTTTTTATTTGATGAGTCGAGCTGCATTTGTGTGAGGTTTGTTCAAACTATTTAAAAGTAATGTAGACATCCTAGAAAACTGCATGATCAAAAGTTCTCATGCTAGCAGCTCATGATAATATTAAAGCAATAACTCATATATATATATTTATCATATTTATATATAATCAGTGAGTCGCTAACTACAGTCTCCTGCCAAACAGATCATTTGAATGGGGAGTCATTTGCTGGAGACTCACTCTGAACAGATGATTTAAACCATTACATGAAAACCCGGTCTGCTCAGATTATTTGAATCAGTGAGTTGTTTACTGCAGACTCACTCACAATGAATCTCTTGAATCAGTGGGTTGTTACTGGAGACTCACTCTGAATGAATTGGTTGAATCAGTGAGTAGTTTACTGGTGAGTCACTCTGAATGAATCACTAGGATAAGTGAGCTGTTTACTCAAGACTCACTCTTCATTGAATCAATATATTATTCACTAGAAACTAGTGCTAGACAAATCATTTGAATCAGTGAGTTATTCACTGGAAATTCACTGAATGAATCATTTGGATTGGCGAGTTGTTTACTGCCGACTCATGCCAAACAGATCCTTTGAATGGGGAGTCATTTGCTGGAGACTCACTCTGAACAGATGATTTAAACCATTACATGGAAACCCAGGCTGATCAGATTATTTGAATCAGTGAGTTGTTTACTGCAGACTCACTCACAATCAATCACTTAAATCAGTGAATTGTAACTAAAAACTCTCTCTGAATGAATCACTTGAATTAGTGAGCTGTTTACTGAAGACTCCATCTCAATGACTCAATTGAATCAATGAGTTGTTCACTGGAAACTATGTATGAATGAATTAAATCAGTGAGTCGCTAACTACTGACTCCTGCCAAACAGATCATTTGAATGGGTGAGTCGTTTGCTGGAGACTCACTCTGAACAGATGATTTAAACTATTGAGTCATTACATAGAAACCCACTCAGATCAGATTATTTGAATCAGTGAGTTATTTACTGCAGACTCACCCACAATGAATCACTTGAATCAGTGAGTTGTTACTGGAGTCTTACTCTCAATGAATCGATTAAATCAGAGCTGTTCACTGGAGATTAGCGATAAACGGATCATTTCACTGGAAACTATAAATGAATCATTTAAATCAGTGAGTTGTTTACTGTAGACTCCCTCTGAATGAATCACTTGACTCCGCGACTAGAGCTGAGTGAGCAGTTGTATTGTGTGTTTATAATGATGTAAGGAGCGATGCGTGTCAGTATAGTGTTGTTTTGAGTGTGTATCGTGACTGTTCTGAGACCTGTTGAAGATGTCGTCGTCCTCTCCGCCCCAGCCCCAGTAGTTGTTGGGGAATCCGTTGATCTTCAGGAACTGCTCTTTGCTGAGCGACGAAACGCCACCGAAATACTGTGTGTACGGCAGCCTGTAGACGAGCACAAACACACAGATGAGGAGAGTGTTCCAGCGCTGGGAAATGCTGAGACAAAGATCTGTCAAATGCACGGTAATAAACTGGCATGTGTGGTGGGCAGAATAATACTGTACAGATATGGTAGAAACCATGAGAAAATCAGCATATTACAGTAAACTGCCATGTTTCATTCATTCAGAATGTTATACAGCAGTGTGTTGAAGAACTAACATCTACACACACACACACACACACACACACACACACACACGTCATTATCAGGAGTGTCTCTTCCAGAAACCCAAACAAACAGCTCCTGGTTGACATGGGAATTACCATAGCAGGACTCTGATGTCAGGAAAACACAACACAGATTCAGAACATGGGCCTGTTTCAGTAAGGAGGTTCAAACAACTCTGAGTTTAAACTTGAACTCTGAGTTGATTTACTGAGAGATTAAAAACTCTGAGTTTTGGGTTTCAGAATAGCGGATCTGAGTTGGGTCAATCAACTTTGAGTAGAGCAACTCAGAGTAAAGTGCGCACAGTGACTATGAAAATGCATTATCAATGGAGCGCAGATATTACGAGTGACCATGGCAACATCTGAGAATAAAAGAGATCAGCGTTTCTTCCTCCAGCTGAACTTGATCTGCTCATGCAAAGTTATAGCATATATGAGCGTATGTATTAAAAAAGAAGCAGCCATCAGTGAAACAGAGACAGTTAGCCTGGGAAAACAGCTGCTCAAGTTAATAAAGTTAAAAAAAACGTTAAAGTTTAAATTTAAATATTTGAGTATAATAAAATAATTAATGTTATGGGTGGCATTTATACTTTTTTTTCTAAACTTTTATACACGTTTATCAGTTTTAATAGGTTTAACAGTACACTTGTGTGTCTGCCTTTTCTTGATCAAGTGATAGCTGAGGTTGATATGACATGTAGAGGGTAAGCAGCACTACAATCATTTTGAGAAAGAATAATAATCCCATTAATCTAGTAACAGTACATGTCGAAGGACAGTGAATTTAAGATAATTATTTATTTAAAAAGGACAAGCCAATCTCGTACGTGACTTTGTTCTGTGTGTGACTAAAAGGTAGGCAATATCTATGTTTCCATCCAAATATATGACATAAATTTATGTGCAAAACTGGAATATTGCATAAAAGATGTGCATAAAGCAGCGTTTCCATCCAACAAGTCAAAGAGAACAAAATCATCACTTCCTGATTAACTGGTGCCAAATATCAACAGTAAAAGCAGAATTTACTGTGGTAGCAGAAGCTGCATCAGTCTTTTCTTTATTTAATAAATGTACTTGCGCCTCAGTACAGAAGACAATGCTGACACACAATGAACACGTGGGGGCGTTTGAAGCCATGAGACGCGGAGACTCTTGACACGCTCCAGATGCTCGGAGGTAATTAATAATATACACTAATACTGAAACAGTTCAGGCATTTTAGATTGACTAAAACAACATTTAAGACGTGTTACAGTGTGCTCAGCCTGCTGGTTTGTCCATTCACACACATTTTCATCATCACATGATGACCCTTTTTTAATGTACATACTGTAATTTGTTCAGTAAAATTGTTTCCATCATAGTTTATGCGCATATTTTCTATCGAATAAAAGTTTATCCTGCTCAATATGTGCATGTTTTTTATGCAAAATTTTATAAGGTATGTGCATCATGACGTTTCCATCAATCGTTTTTATGCACATCTCCAAAATGAGCATCAAAATAGGTGTGTGGAAACGCAAGGCCAAGACGAGAAATACCGCTTCATCTTTAAAAAAGGGGAGGAGACCGACAGAAACTCAGAGTTTAGAGAATAAAGCCTGCTCCTGACCAGGTTAGGTTCACAGTAATTGACCACAGTAACTGACTCTGAGTTAAAGTTACCTCTCTTTCAGAAACAGGCTTGACTTACCCTGCTTTCTCCAGTTTAACAAACCTGCCACTCTGAAACCGAAAACCCAGAGTTTCTCTCATTTCAGGGTTAAAATACTCTGAGTTTTCACTTAACCTCCTTTCTGAAACAGGCCCCAGCTCTGCTGTCAGATATAAACCAGTGGCACCATGTATTATTAAAAAATAATTATGATAGACATATAGAAATACTGAGTCAATTTCGGTTATAATGAGGTAAGGAATTTTTTTCATTTATAAATACTTGATTTTCAGTTTTAGTGTCTTGCAAAATTTATTTACAATCCTATAGATCACAATAATATAGATCACTGATCTCTCCTGTGCAGTCATATTCTCTCCAGGATGCTGTACAGTAATATAGCTCTGCAGATACACTCGATTAGTCAGTACCAAAGACTAAACTGATGAACCAATCTAACAAGATCACAGTCCAGAGATTACTAATACTGTAAACTCAACATCAGCAGCGAGCGTGTGTGTGTGTGTGTGTGTGTGTGTGTGTGTGTGTGTGTGAATTTTCATCCAGTATTTCCAGTCATTTCTGTGTGACGTTAACATTAGATCAGCTCAATCTTCAACCACACACACACACACACAGACAGACAGACAGACACACACTCACTCCTGAACACAGTTATTTCGCTTGTTCCTCCAGTTGAACAAAGCAGATAATGTGAGGAATGCTCATTATATCAGATTTTGTGTTCACAGAAGTGAGAAACTCAAACAGGTTTGCGACTCAATGCAAGCGATGACAGAATGCTCAGTTTTGGCGAGCATTAAGAGCAGTAAGACCAGTTCCAGCTCTGCTTCTGCATGTGTGTGTGTCATGAGTAATGATCGGCTGGGATTATAGCTCCAGGTGAACTCACATTCCAGACAAAAACAAGACATTCTGATGAAAACACACTTCAGCAGTGGAGGAGAGAGCGTCAGTGTCATCATCATCATCGTCACCATCATCATCATTTCTGTTGAGTTCTGCTGGGAACAGAGTAAACTGTGTCCTGCATCAGCTTCTGGCCGGCTGACGCTCTGCTGTAACACTCCAAAACAACAAATCACAACCAGATGGAGGAACAGCAGAGAACACTGCAGACACACACAACTAAGAGCAGCACTGGGTGCGTGTGTGTGTGTGTGTGTGTGGGCTTAACCTGACCTTTAGCAGAGATGCACACTCTAAACATGAACAAAGAGAACACACATGAACCTGCACACATGTGCACACTTAACAAGCTCAAACACACACACACACACACACACACATCTGAACATGCTCACATGCATACACAAAAGCACGCACATTTGCACACGTTCAAACACACACGTCTCCATATACTCACGCGCACACACACACTTTCATTTACACTCACTCACACACACACACACACACACACACACACACACACACACACACACACATGTCTGCACATGCTTACATGCAAACACAAATGCACGCACATTTGCACACGTTCAAACACACGTCTCCATATACTCGCGCACACACACACACACACTTTCATTCACACTCACACACACTCCAGCAGCTACAGGTTGAGCGGTGTGATGTCAGCGCAGTGTGTGTTTGATCATCTCTCTGACGCTGGATTTACTCGCAGCTCAAAGTCCAGCAGGAGTAACCCGGAGGGATGTTATGAGTTAAATATTCTGGGTTGAATCAACATTATCTGTGGAGGATTAACGCTGAAAATAAACAACAAATAATCTCTCTGGAAAAGCTGAATGACCTTGAACAGCCTCGAGTTACTCCGGTTACATCTCCCACAATCACATGCTCATCTTCAGCTGTAGGTAAAGCAGCCGGTAACACAGCGCTGATAATGAAAGCTGATTTGCCATAATAAAATATTAATCAAACACAAAAAAAGGATGAAATAACACTCAAAGTTTAACTGTGCTGCCGTAAACATGATGATAAAAATCATCCTAAATCAACACACATCCTCTGCTTATGCACTGTAAGGCAGTCCTGAATGTTGAACGCCATGCAAATACACACACCGCAGCATTTCCATCTGCACCAGCATCATATTTACACACACACACACACACTCAAACAAACAATAATGTGGGTTCAAACACACCTGACGTCAGAACACAGGACAGGACACATGACACTAGAGCTGCGCGCTATTGCAAAACTCTGGCATTGCAGTATTTAATTTGTCTGTGATATGAGCAGATGCTTAAATCGCTCCGTTTGGAAAAGAAATGCTTAATTTAGATTGAGTGGGGTGATTCTGAAAGGGTGTAAATAATAAATAAACAAATAATAAGCAAAAATAATTACAATAGAGCAAAGAAAATAGAACAATAATTAATAATGAACCAGCATTCAGGAACATAAATTGAATTAAAGTCAAATGTAAGACAACACCGTGTCAAAATCATTGTATTAATATTTCAGTCAGATTATTCTTCATTAAAGGTACGAACGCTGTTCTTTTTGTTATCGAATGCTCCTGAAATGCCTTTAAAATGCATGCCAATGATACACTTTCACTCTGTTATGGTTGTGTTCTTATCAATAATAATCCTGACTCAACACTGCAGACTCTGTGATGTGGCGATCGAGGACACACACACTGCGATATCCCTGCTGAAACCATATAGTGCGCAGCTCTACATGACACTGATATTCAGTTATTCAGTATATCGTGAACATTAGGGCTGTGCGCTTAATCAAAATCGAATTGCAAATTGAGACATCGCGATTAATTAATCATAAGAGGATGCAATACGAAATGTATATGTAAACAAAAATAGTGAATAACATCTGAGGTGAAGTGCTTCAAAGCTAGTCTGCTATGCTTTAGAAAATTAAACCCATGCCAACACAGGGAAAACATGCAAACTCCACACAGAAATACCAACTGACCCAGCTGAGGCTCGAAGCAGCGACCTTCCTGCTGCGAGGCCACGGTGCAACACTATAGTTTAGTTTTTATACATCAGTTCCTCCAAGTATAAATGATATAAACATAAATATCTATGCAATTAAAATATTCATATAAATTACCGTGAAGTTTGAATATTTCCAATTGTCTGCCCCTTTGCAACTCTAGTAGAACTTTACATCTCTTAATTAAATTTTAAGTTTAACAATTGTGTAAAGTTGATATTAATATGAGAATAATTCCAGAAACATTACCCAGCTTTGTGGGTATCTTTAAGAAGTTATTTAAAGTGACAGTTCACCCACATTTCCAAAACTCCCAGGAAACTTTATCACCCCATTGCAATCAGAAGCATAAGGAGAACATCAGAATATGCGCAGGACTGACGCACCTGAAGCCGAACTTGTCCATGGAGACGGCCAGGTGTCTGGGCTGATTGTAGCACTTGTAGATGTTGCGGTCATCCATCGGGATCAGGTCCACGTCGCTGAACACAAAACAGTCGTAATCGTACTCCTTCAGCGCCTCCGCATAGCCGATGTTCAGGAGTTTAGCTCGATTAAACGTGTCCTCGCCATC